ATGCTTGTTGCTGAGTGACTTTTATTAGAAGCTGAAAAGCGAATTCCATTTCATATGTACTTGTGGAGGCATCATCACATGATGATGCTTCCACAAGTACCTATGATGGCACGTAAAAGCTAATGATTTCGCTGGACTCTCACAGAAAAATTGATAAGAATGTCGAGTATCTTTCCAAATTTTGTCGGACAGTGTAGTTGCTTCATTGTTGACATTGTTATGAATTGATTTGCAATCAATGAAATATATGTATATAAAAATTGTGGTATGTTTATTGCTAGGATGGTCTTCTTTTTGAATATTTTTTTGTGCGTTATGCTTTACAGTGTATCTATATGTTTACCGATTCGAAAATTTCTTATTATTGGAGCATCTGGGTATAATGTGCCCCAACGTCACATGATATTCTGCGAGAGGGATTGTCATTATAATTCACAGTTGACCAGATTTGTGAATCACTGCATCTAAGCCAGTTGAAACTTGTTGCCTTTCAAGGCAACGTGTTGAAAGACAAAATTGGGGATAATACAAAACACTGAAAAATCAAACACAAATTTATTACAAGTAATGCCCGATGGCGTAATACGGTCCATTATCGAATGCGATAGACTATTTAGGAAGTGCCGAAATAACATGTCTGCCACAGTTTTCAAAGAAAAATGTTTGAATTGCAGGCATATACTGAATAGTTTGATTGGAAACGGGAAAAAGAATTATATGTACACAATAGAGTACGTTTCATTTATAATTTAACTGGCCGAGAAATTCCATTGTCCATAGCAGCTGTCGTTCCCCTCTCCCCTCCACGTTTTTCTGCCTATTCGATATTCCTATATGTCTACTCAGGTAAGATTTAACATATAAATAAAAAAAATTACTGTTCAAGTTGAAAATATATGGTACCCATATTATATCAAGTAGATTGTGACAGAGGTTTCGACGTGACTTTGGTAGGCGGAGCTCGTTTCTTCTCCTGGTGTTGTAACTATGAAAGTCAGTACTTCTGAGAAACGTGTTTTTCTTTTTATGAATATATATTGCGACTTCCAACATATAGAGACCTTAAAAAGAAAGAATGCCGAGTTTCTTGAAGAGATTTCGACATGACTGCAGTTACGGTGCATTTGTTATGCAACGAATTATTCTTTTTTGTGCAATGAATATATCTTTAGCGGCTGGAGATGTACCCCAGATACTGATTGCATAACTAGTTCTGGATTGAACTTGAAGCATAATAAAATAATAGTAGACCTTCCGTCTTCAACACATTTTTTAACATTCTGATTTGATAGCATTTAGAGTTCAGTGAGACTTTTGCAGTGTGTTTTAAAAGTAAGATCGTTGTCAAGAGAAATGCCCAAGAATTTTATAGTACAGCACAGGGTTCGATAGAGATACCGCATAGGTTCAGGTTTAAGGCAGGTAAATGGAGGTTTTGACTGGTATGGAATGTCATGTAGTTTGTTTTGGAAGGATTGAGATATAGCGAGTTTTCACTTAACCAACCGTGTAGGATATCAGTGGTGTTAGATATTTTATTTTGGAGTTCAAATTTTGATTTATCTGATAGGAGTAGAGTAGCGTCGTCAGCATATATGCGAGTGAACGCTTCCGGTAAAACTATTGGGAATTCATTTATATAGATGATAAAAAGTATAGGAGCCAAGACAGAGCCTTGAGGTACACCAATATTATTTTCTTGTTGAGATGAGAAAAATGTGAGTTTTTTATTTGCCCCAGTGTGGCTAATTTTTACTCTCTGGGTTCTTCCTTCGAGAAAAGAACTAAACCAATCGTGGGATTTCCCTCGAATTCCAATTTGCTAAAGTTTATCAAGTAGTTGTTTATGTATTACGCAGTCAAAAGCACGACTGAGGTCACAGAATATTCCAGTTGGATTGTGTCCTAGCTCGATGGCATTAACAATTTTTACATAAAGGCAATGAATTGCAGTCTCGGTGGAATGTCCAGTGCGGAAACCATGCTGGTTTGGGTGAAGTGAACTGTTTATATTTAGAAATTCCACAAGTTGTGCAAGCATTGTGTATTCAAAAAGCTTGGAGAATATGGGGGGAATGGTAATGGGACGATAATTTTCCATATTTTGCGGATCATTTTTTTTTTGGAATTGGAGATACAAGAGCATTCTTCAATCTCGATGGGAATAAGCCCTCTTGAAGGGAGGCATTTATTACATGAGTGAGAGGTTTGACGATAGAGGCGGAAATATTTTTAATTGGGATTTGTTCGAGAAGAGCAATGGACTGTATTTGTTTAGGTACAAGTCGCTTCAAGAGGAAGAATTCCACTTACCTTTTTGATATTGCTGTGGCACACATACGCGCGTTTTTTCTGGTTGGTTTCTACCGATCGGATTCTTGAATTGTACTGATCCCTTTTTGCTTGGAATCCTCGCGTTTCGTCGAATTGGCACCAAAATACAGTGGCGTTACGACCTCTTGGAGATTAGGGGGACGCGAGGGATTATATTAATAACAGCGGATGAGGTTGCTACTAGTGAGTTGTGTATACAATACGTAACAGGATTCCAGAAATATCGTCTGTGCCACAGGTGTGTTTATTTTGGAGTTTGTACTTTAAAGTATCCATAATTTTCTGTTCAGTCACGTATCTGATAAAGAAACTATTAGGCATATTTTTATTCATATTCTCAGAAGGTGAGTGACTTTTATTGATTATTTTATTAATGGTGTCATATGGCGCCTGAATAAAGAAATCATTGAACCCTTCAGATACAGATTGTAGATTATTAATTACTTCATCACCTCGTGTTCGTGCCTATCCCTAGAAATTGCAATTGATGCTATCGTGATGTAGAGGTAGTAAGGCGACTCAATAAATTATATACTTTTCCTTTGATCTTTACGGATCATTATTTTAAATTTTTTCTGATCTTGCTATCATGGAACTGGTATTTCCTGGAATTAGAAATATTCAAAATTTGTTGCTCACCAAGAGTATACTCAAATGCACCATGAGTATCAGCAACAAAATAGTTGAAACTGATCGACTGATTTTTATTTATTTATTTTTTTTTCATTTTCCTCATTCTTGCAATCTTGAAGCTGGTTTTCCTTGGAATGAAAAGTGTTTTAAATTTGTTGCTTATCAAGAGGATACTCAAATACACTCCGATATTTTAATTCAAGAGGAAGTCAGTTCCAAGATGACGAGAGCGGGAAAAATTAGAAAAAAAAATTTGCAAAATTCAGCCCATCGGTTCCACTTCTTTTGTTGTTGGTTCATCATGTATATCTTTAAGTACTACCAATTTGACAAAAAAATTTACAACTCTTTTCATTCGAGATAGTAAAGTTAGGAAAATTAAAGAAAATATATCAACCGAACAATTCGGACTATTTTGTTGATGATTTTTCAAGTGTATTTGAGAACTCTTCTGTTGAGAAATAAATTTGGAATACTCTGTATTCAAAGAAAAAGCGGTTTCAAGTTAGCAAGAACGAGGAAAATGAAAAAAAAAAAAAAACTTGAAAAATCGTCCGATCGGTTTCAACTATTTTGTTGCTGATACCCAAGGTGTATTTGAGTATACTCCTGGTAAGCAAAAAATTCAAAAAATACTGTATTCCAGAAAAAAACAGTTTCAACATAGCAGAAACAGGGAGAATTAAAAAAAATATTAAAAATCAACCGATCAAGATCAACTATTTTGTTGCTGATTCTCGGAGTGTATTTGAGTACCCTCCTAATGAGTTACAAATTCAAAACACTTTTCATTCCAAAGAAAACACCAGTTTCAAGATTGCCAGAATGAGGAAAATGAAAAAAAAATTAAAATCAGCCGATCGGTTTCAACTATTTTGTTGCTGATACTCAAGGTGTATTTGAGTATACTCTTGGTGAGCAACAAATTTAGAATATTTCTAATTCCAGGAAAAACCAGTTTCAAGATAACAAGATCAGAAAAAATTTAAAAAAACCTTCTGTAAAGATCAAAGGAAAAGTATATATTTTATTGAGTTATTGTTCTACCTTTATATCACGATAGCATTATTTTCGATCTTTAGGGATCGACACGAGCAACAAAATCGTTGTTTTGGAAACTAATTAGCAACTATCTAGCTACAAATTGATGTATTTTTTTTGCAATTTTGCTGGATTCGCCATGCTAGCCTGATAGGGCTCAACACCGGCTCAGAAGTAGCGATTCATACATCGGGTAAACTGTGATTTAAAATGACAACCTCTCTCGTAGACTGCCAAATGAAGTTGAGGCACATTACTTTCAGATGCTCCAATCATGAGAAATTCTCGAATCGGAAAACATTCACTTTTTCTCAAACGCATCCATAAACATAATCATCTTTACTTCCTTTTGGACATTTCTTGTCATATTCTCGATTATTGAGGTACGTTCAATGTTGAAATACCAAACCGATAATTAAAATATTTAATTTTACTTATATTTCGATCAGATATTGAAGGATTCTGAAAGATTTCCCCAACCAGAATAATAACCTTTAGATGTCATGACAAGAAGAAATTTAAAATATGCAATCAAACATTTTCAAATCATGACTAACTGAGTGAAAATAACTTGAAGGACCAGGCATAGATTTGCATTGGCAAACGATTGAATCAAGGTCATGTGGCACACCAGCCACATGACCTGGTCCTGAAGACTACGTCAAGAAGCTATCCTATGTACTTGCAATTACTGGAAAGGCAACCACATACCACTGGTAGTGGTCGCGGACTGTCAGGTAACGTCGGGGCACATTATTACCAGATGCTCCAATCATTAGAATAGAAATTGTCGAACCGGAAAACATATCCACTTAGTGGTAGGTACCCCGGTTCTCAAGAGAATATAAATAGTCCAAAAGAGGAAAGAAACACATATGTGTAACATCCTAGGAATAAACATATATATTTATATATTTTATTGCATGCGAATCATATTCAAATTAGTGTCAACAATGAAGTAACATTCTCATCAATTTTTCCCAGGGAATCCATTAGCTTTTACGGGCCATCATAGGTACTTGTGGTGGCATCATAGGTGCTTGTGGTGGTATCATCATGTAAGGTGGTAGAACATTGAATCCCGTCATGATTTGAGGCACTCCACCACCAGGTCTCATCATCGTGTGAGGAGGTATTTGAGGAGGCCCTGTCATCACGGGATGCATCAACATAGGATGTGTTGGGTGAACAGAACCCATCGCTGTAAAATAAGAATGCTATTAGTATGAAGAAGTTAAAATTATTCAGTGAAAATATAAATAAATAATTATCGTTACAAAATGACTAACATTACCTGAATATTAAAATAAAACCATCCATTCTGAAGAATACCTAGGTAATGGATATGATATAAATAGTAACTGTCTTACCTCCTACTGGTGCGAACGGGTTCGTTGCCTTTTGTTTGGCTCTGAAAGCAGCAGTTGTAGCATCAATCATTCTCTGGGTTTCATCATCCATTAGTTTCTGATAAACATATTTCACGTTATCTATGTGTTTCCTGCCAGTAACATGTGTTTTTCTCACAGTAGGGGAATCATGCGTTAGGTATGTATCACAGTAATCACAAAAGTATTTTGGCATTTTACAACCTTGATCTCAAAATCACAAATTCTGGAACTAAATTATCACCACACAAGTTTACACTTCAGGAATTCAGCTAGTTCACTGCAGAAAGACTGTCTACTCGTAATGTTCATTTAAATTTATGATTTCTCTTTATATAATACTCAGGTACCTCACAGGTACCATCTTAGGTACCATCTCCCTCACTCTATCCTGTATCTCATATCTCGATATACAAGGAAACTAGGTACAAGAATCCAATGTTGAAGAGAATATGTCCAGGTAGTATATACTTGATGAAGGAAGAGCTTTTTTGTTTTCTAATTATGCATTTCAACATAAAAAATTTGGGAAATTAAAAAAAACAAGGAAATAATCATCTTCGGAATGAACTAATCACATGGATGTGTGAATAATGTACAGATGTATCCCTCACATAAAAACTATAAGAAAATGTCCACCCGAATTCTAAGAAATGAAAAAGAAGTTTTATTTGAAGGTGATTGACAATGTTTCATGATGAATTTCACTAGTTCGGACTTCCATTGTCTACTATATAAAATGATTTGAAATCCCTGTAACAACTAAAGAAGAAGAATTGAAAATGAATAGCTGAAAATAACAATTATATTAACCAAAATAAACCTGAAATGAAATAATAGTGACATAAAATACAAGTAAAAATAGAACAATTGAATAATTAAAAATAAAGACATGGAAAAAGAAAATAAAAATAAAAAGTGGAGAGATTCCAAGTCACGTTAGTTCACGACGTTTCGATTGTTAGTATCTACAATCGTCTTCGGGTGATGACTGGGAATGACAGAGAAGAAGTTTTATCTTTTCCCTCTTAGAATTATAATTGACAGAAAGCTGGACTGCAAGAGCCACATAAAGTGGCAACACAAATGTCAAGGTACTGCTATGCCTTGAAAATAATTACACAAAATATATCCACTACGGCTGCGATGTTAGCATATAATGGTTATATTCAGAGTCACATCAAATATGGCGTTATGTTCTGGGGAATGTCTGTACATACACAAAAAATATTCATGTTGCAAAAAAAAAATATTCGTGAAGAAACACTAACAGGTCTTTTCATTTATGAAGCTGTGGTATTTTTCAAATAAAATATATATCTTTTTGTGACTTATGTGAACTATACCCACAATACACGAAACAAAAATAACCTTTTGAATATAAAGACACATTTGACCTATCTTCAAAAAAATATACCTTCCTCAATCATTAATATTTATAACAAGATACCTGAGACTCTGAGAATTTTGTATATGTTACCTAATATAATAATATTACGTTAAGTATATTGACTGTGATAACCTTGGTATTCATACAACTGTGGCCTGTCATATTCTTAACCAATATTAATACTGCTTGATGATTTTCTATTACTTCACTGTAAATAACGCAACTTTGACAAATGAATACAAAAATTGTAAAAATATAGACAACTAAAAATATGCAACCAAAATATTTTTGGTTTATATATGTAACCGAGTGGAAATAGTTTTGGGGAATAGGCATAGAATTGACTTGACAAGAGATTGAAACCAGGTCATGTGGCACATTAGCTCTGAGTTCCTAAAGACTACGTCAAGAAGCTATTTTAAAGCTATCGTTTGTATGAGAAGTAGCGAATTCTCAAGGCTCATTTGTGACATGTCCTTGACATGTGACGTATTTGTAACAAAAATCAACGCAGAATTTAAATATTTCAGGCTTCCTTTTTTCCAAAAGGAAGTCTGAAATATTTGTAAAGATGACTATGTTTATGGATGTGTCTGAGAAAATGTGAATATTTTTTCCGATTCGAGAATTTCTCATGACTGGATCATCAGAAAGTAATGTGCCTCAACTTGTCACTTGGCAGTCCGCGAGAGAGGACTGCCAAGGTCATTATAATTCCCAATTGACCCTATTTTTGAATCGCTACTTCTGAACCGGTGTTTTGTAGTCGCAAGTGAGCCTTGCTACTTCAATATAAAGAGTTCATCTGAAGAGTCTTTGTTCATTCAGTAGTTTGAGTTTGATTTCTTTTTTGAATTTGTGATATTTCATTTTTTTATTTCAATAGATAAACCATTCCAACGTTGTACGGCTACACAAGTGAAAGATTTATGCTAAGAAGCGGTCCTGTGAATTGGAAAGACAAAATTTCTGCTATGATGTCCAGTTCTGTGTGCATGACTGTTTAGCTTGAGCTTTTTTGCGAGGTGAATTGGCTAGTTTTGATTTACAACTTTGTGAGTTACAGTGTAGAAATGAAGTTTCCTTTTTTTCTCCATATTGAGCTCAGAATGGCTATTTAGGTACGGAGTAATGTGTTTTCGAGATGGTATATTGAAGGAGTAACGCATACAAAAGTTTTGAACGTGTTGAATTTGCTTGGCTATAGATGTAGCAACAGAATATTCATATACTACATCGGCATAGTCGAATAAGCTGAGTATTGAAGTGTTACAAAGTTTACATTTTATACTGGGAGCGATAACATTTTCATAGTTATATAAGTGTTTCAGTCTCATAAAAGCGATTTTCCGTTTTTGGGAAATGTGTTTGGAGAAAGTTAGGTAGCTATCCTAGTAAACGCCTAAATTTTTGACTACGTTCACTGGATTTATTATATTATTTGATGATTTAATTTGCATATTTGTTTGTTCTAAATACGAAAGTACTCTTCAGGTGCCAATGAACAAAACTTGAAATTTACTTGGATTAATTTTCAAGCAGTGAAAGTCTTTTTATCGTCTCTAGGTCTTCGTTTATGTTATTTTCTGCAGTTCTATAATATTTGGGTGGGAATTGAAAAGCCATCTGAGAATCATCAGCGTATTGATGTAACTCGCAATGATGGGTACTACAATTCATGTCAAAAATATAAATTGAGAAAGAAGTGGGCCCCAAAATAGATCCTTGTGGAACTTCTCGTTCAATGGTTTTCATAGAGGATCTAACTGTACATTCGTTTTAGATAGCTTCTTGACGTAGTCTTTAGGAACTCTAAGCTAATGTGCCACATGACCTGGTTACAATCTCTTGTAAAGTCAAATCTATGACTTATCCTTAAAATTATTTTCACTCAATTACAGAAACGATTAAAAGTTTTTGATTGCTTCTTGTAAATTAATTATTGTCATAAAATTTAATGGATATTACTCTCATTGGGGATATCTTTCACATTTTTTTAACTCCAGTTTGTCATAGAAGCAGTATAATTTCATTAAAATGATTCAAAAATGGCAATCTTCATTCTCACGAGTACTGAACACATTACTCGTTCTTGTGATGCACTGTTTGAATATTATTAGAGTTTTTCCCAACACTAAACCGTTATTTTAACACCTCGACACGTGTTTCGACCACCAAGTGATCATCTTCAAGAGGAAGATCAAAACTCGTTGATTAATGCGAGTATATTATTATTGATCACTGTTTGCATTTTGAGCTTTATGCCCTTTGAAGACATAAAGTTATTTTGAAATAAAGTATCTATGAGTATCTAAAGTATCTATATCTTATGAGTCGAATATGAATACAAATAACTATAAAACAACCCACGAAGCATCGCATGCTTGTATATGGTGAAAATCATATGCCTAAATGTAACATCTGAAATATAAAGTATACTCAACATGGGAAATATTGAATAAAATCTGTGTATCTAATAAAGAATGCAATATCTAATCAAAACACATTTCAACATTGAACATACCTCAATAAATGAAAATATAACAAGGAATGTCCGAAACGAAGACTGAAATATTTGTGTTCTGCATTGATTTTAGTCACGGACCCGTCACATGTCAAGGATTAAAGTAATAAAATCCTGAGATTCTGTTCACNAACAAGGAATGTCCGAAACGAAGACTGAAATATTTGTGTTCTGCATTGATTTTAGTCACGGACCCGTCACATGTCAAGGATTAAAGTAATAAAATCCTGAGATTCTGTTCACAACATAGTATGGTAATGAAATAAATCTAATTATGTTCTGCATGTTTAAGAAGTACTTCAGCGACCACGAATGAAATTTTATTAATTCTTTCTCGTGATCGACTAGAGATTAAGTGTGTGAGCTCTTTCAGATGCGGCGTAAGGCGTGGGCAACCGCCTACGGCCTCGCGATGCAAAGGGCCTCGCGCCTCAAAGGTAATATCTAAGGAAAGAGAAAAGTACCAACAAATGTTATTATAATTTTTTTAACAGGTTACGGATACAATATTGGTGCATTCTTTCTTATTTATCAATCATGTCACGTTTAGGCACTAAGAGAGATAGAGATAAAGCAAGAAAATGGGAATCTGGTTCAGCAAAAAGAAAAAGAATTTTTTTCTTTAATTAAAGTGAGTAAATAGCAATGTCAGGGACTTCTTGCATCATCAGAGGCCTCGAGAAATGTACCTTGCCCACAATAAATTTAGGTCTTGCGCCGCCACTGAGCTCTTTTCTCATTTTTTGAAATGATTAGCAGTTTTTCATGTTACAGGTAAAGAGTTGTAGACTATCAGTCACAGAACACTGAATGATTTCTGCTCTTTAGACTTACGAGCATATATATGCTATATTTAGTTTTGTTGTGTGTGTTGTGTTCAGGCTTGCTTAATCTATGTATGACGCAAGAGTTTTGTAAAAGAGGTTACTTTCCTTCCTTTGAATTACTTCCAGTGGATGAAGGTATATTTTTGATACATCGTCCCATCCCATTATGCAGTATCTTAGATATTTTTGTACTAGTGAATAATGAACAATTTTTTTCTGTTTCAAATACAAAAATATCCTTGAGCTGTCAAAAAAAATGAATCCTAATTTGTCCATCAAATGACTCACATGGATCTCAAATGTAAGATGCGTACATGCGCCTATTTCTGAAAACTCCTTAATCATTTAATGCCGATACATCGCCAGAGAACACTTGTATGTCCTTTTCTGCCTCCACAATGAACTGTAGCAATGCCATCTACCAAACTGATATTGTGCCCAGATGAGCGTGCCAA